AGAGAGAGAGAGAGAGAAAGAGAGAGAGAGAGAGAAAGAGAGAGAAAGAGAGAAAGCAAGCCACCAGGTCCAGTACTTGAACCATGGTCGGCCATGTGGGAGTGTCCAGCGCCTTATCCACCACGCCATCTGCTGGTCCCCATCTACTCCCTTAAGACTTTTCACATATACTTTAATTATACTCATCATGCCATACTGTAGAATTCTCCAAGCTAACTGAAACTTTGTACCTTTTGACCATTATCCCCATATTCCACTCACTACCAGCCCCTAGAAACTAGTATTCTGACCTGCTGTGAGTTCAACTTTTTTTTTAGACTCCATATCTTTATTGAAGGTTATTATCCTTTCCTGATCTGCAACACAAGCCCCTTCACTTTGCTTAAATCACTCACTGTGCATTTAGCATGACAACAGGTGCTAAAGCATTGACATGAAACTATATACTGTTTCTTTCCACAGGCAGGTGACTCCAACGAGTATACATATGCTTTCCCGCTTTTCTCTTTATGAAACACTGACTATCACAAAATCCAATTAACTTAGACACTAAAATGTTACTTTAGAGGGATTATTAATACCTGCCATGGTTTGGCTAAGAGTTTGTCCTCCAAAGGTTCATTTTGGAATTTAGTTCCCAGTGTAATGGCACTGGGAGGTGATGAGGCCAAGTAGGCAGTATTGGATCATGGAGTGACCACCCTCACCAGCATTAAATGAAGTAATGCTGTCTCTCAAGAGAAAGTGAGTTTTTGCTTTCATAGGAGTTAGTTTCCCTATGAGAAGGTTGTTATAAAAGACGGCTGCCTGCAGATTGTGTTTTTCTCTCTCTCTCTAAGCAGAGGTACACTGACCTTTCCTCTTTTCTCTGCCATGTCCTGATGCAGCAGAGGCCAGCCAGATGCCAGTCTCATACTATTGGACTTACTAGCCACCAAAATCGCAAGCCAAATAAATCTCTATCTCAAGTATTTCTGTTCAGCAACACTATAACAAACTAAGACAATATGAAATTATTTCAATATTTTTAAAGTATAATTTACCACCACTAAAATAGATATTAAGTGCCTTCTTAAAAGGCAGCAGGTTTTCAAAAACAAATTCTGTTAAGCTTGATAAGTGGCAGAGAGGGGAAAAGCAGGTACAGTTTAACCCTCAGCTGAGCCACACTGCCTGAACTCAAAGCCTATCTCCACCGTACAAGAGCGAGGGGACCTTGAATGATTTATCTGCTATTTCAGTGCTTTGGTTTATTCCTTTATGCATAGAACAGAGATAGTAATGGGGGGCTTGCCATACAACTTCAATATGATGAGCCATGTAAAGCTCTTGGACTACTGAGCTATTATTAGTTAAGTAAATATTTCTAATGAATTTATATCCTCTTAATTACCAATCATTGAATTTAGTTAGCTATACAGAAATCATACTTACAGAAAATCATCCCTTATGTTCCCATTAAAAGTGCCACACAGACCTAATGTTCTTCTTTTCCATGCACTAGTGAGCTGAATATAAATTCTTTCCCCATCTATAGCAAACAGTATCTTTAAACCAAATGTTGTTTTTAGGAGTATAAATAAGGATGACAGAGTTTGAATTTCAACAAGTCCTGCAGGAAAAGAACACATATAAATCAGCTTTGAGATACACAAGCAATGTTCTAAAAAGGCTAGAGTACACCACCAGGGCTTTTCTTCCATGATATGGGGAAGAGGGACAGCTGTCTCACAGTTCCTGCCCATGTTCCCACGCCCATTTTTGCCACCCTGTGGCTTCCTTCCCCTCTCCCCTTCTTCCTCTCCCTCTTTCCTGGGTCTTAAGCAGATATTTTTAATAGGTTATCAAGCCAATACGTAATTCCAGTTTACAAGCACCTCATGAGAAAGGGTTTATAGACATTTGAAAACTCTTTTCTTGGGAACCAGCAGTTAGTGTAATGGCTATGTTGCTGGACTCCCACGTAGTCGACCGCGGTTCGTGTCCCGGACCCGGTGGCTTAAAACTCACGCCGGGCGCGTGTGCGTATGTGCCCAAGATCCTGAGAGGAGAATGGAGGAGAAGGGATTGCGGCGTGACCATCCCCCCTGGGGGGTGATTTCTCGCTTTCTGTCTCTATGTCTCTCTCTGTCTGGCGAGCGCACGCGCCCTACAGTGAAAATCTCTCAAAAAAAAAAAAAAAAAAACTCTTTTCTTAACTTTGTGTGTGTTTGTATAACTCAATAAGGAAGTGGTATTTTCCTCAAAATTCTCCCATTCCCTTTAGACTGTCAGCAAAAAGGAACACAGCACTAGAGAAGCACCATTTTATGAGACACTTTTAAAGACAAGAAACTTGTATTCAAAACTACACTAATAACATTTGCCACCACAGGGGAAGCGTTGCTCTTCGTTACTTGTGTGTCTTCCCCACAATCTCTGACACAATCTGGTTATTAATGACAGAAATCTGAGAATCATTATTTAACCACCCTACTACCCCTCTTATCTTCCCCCAATCAACCCCAATCCAACCACTAAGTTTGGACCATTTTATTTTCTAACCATATTTCCAATATTCATTTCCTCTCTGGCATCTCCACCCTGTTGTCATAGCAGTCTTATCCCTCCCCCTCCCCCCCCCACACACACACCAAAAAAAACTTCTTAAAACTAATTTTTAAAACTAATTTATTTGGTTAGATCATATGAGATTGCCACCTTTGTACATAAAGATGGTCAACTAATGACAGTTTCTTATTTGATTCATATCAAGTTCATCTTCTTTATCAGGATAACTATCATAAGCAAAATGGAGTCTTTCCCAGTCTTATCCCCACCCTTTTCCCTAATCTCTACTCTGGACATTCTCTACTTACCCTTTTGTTGTAGCAATGCCAAACTAGTTACAGTTCCCCTAAAGATATCACATAGTTCTATATCTCCTTGTTCACCATATCCAGAAAAGCTTCCTGACTAGTCCTGCACACCCTTCCCAAGTGCTGGCTGCACTGAACCTCATTTAGACTCTCCAAGTCCCTATGCATATCTTTGAATTTATCACATTTTTTTAGTGGCTATCTGCTTCTCTTCCCTTCCAAATTCAAGGCCACCTCAAGTAAACACTGGGTCCCATAAACATGGTGGTCTTCACTATCTGCAGCTAGAATGTTAGGTAGTCGGCTAATGGGAAAAGACTCTATGTGGGCTATGTTTGCTGCTGTCACTCTTTTTAATGGAAACAAAGTACACCATTAGCATTGCTCCTTACCATTAAGATTGAAGCCATGGTTAGGACTGGTGAGGATTTGTCCTCCCCTACTAAGGGTCACTTGTTTGTTAAAATCATCTTCCAGAATTAGAGTTATAGACTGAAGGCAGACCAAGCCAAGGTTCTGCATAAAAATTAAATTATCAATGAATGAATAATAATGAGAGTGAGGCACAGAAAGAGGGGAAATGAGAGAGGGATAGGGAAAAAGGGGAGGGAGAGAAAACAGAGAAGAAAAGAGGAAGAGTATGTGTAAATACAAATTTTCAGTACATAGAAAGCTTGAGTATAAGTAATACTGGGTTGTTAGAAAATGTATTTTTACTGTTTTCTATGCAAAAATGCATCATTACTTTTCTGACAACCCAATATAATAATGTAGCTGTTACATAATTTCATGTTGCCCCATTCCTGATAAAATAAATACTTATACAGTACATTAGATATCATATATATACATATATATATATACACACACACTTGTATTTTACATAAAACATTAAATAAAAAATTTTTCAATAAAGCACAAATAATGTTTCACATAGCACACACTCAGAATACCTCCTCAAATGCATTAAAGTGGTAGATTAGACATAAAAAATTCAATAGGAAAACAAAGAAAATTACGACTCTATGTAGGAAGCTAACACATTCTAATATATTGCAAAAACAAAAACTAGAAAAAAAAGGTCAGAGTTTCTGTTAGAAATAACTATTTTATATTGGGATAAAATTAGGAAATTAAAGATTTTAGCAAAATTTTGATTTCCTAGTTTAGAAAGATGAATGGGGACCATCAGGTGGCATGGTGATTAAGGCACTGGACACTCCCACATGGCTGACCACAGTTCAAGTCCTGGACCTGGTGGCTTGCTTTCTCTCTCTCTCTCTCTCTCTCTCTCTCTCTCTCTCTCTCTCTCTCTCTCTCTCTCTCTCTCTCTCTCTCTCTCTCTCTCTGTCTCTCTCTTGTCAAATTAAAATAAATGAATGAATAAATAAAATTAAAAATAAATAATTAAAAAAAGAAAGATGAATGAAAGATCTGGGTTTCTTTATCTATAAATTACTGATGTGCTTATTGCTTCAAGAAAATTTCTAAAATAAGTATGTGAACATGTTAACAAATTAATCATTTAGAATATATGAAAACTATTCTATCCTGTCAAGAGCTAGCTCTTTATATAGCTAGTTTTGAAAGAAACATTTAGGTCCACATGCAATCATGCAGGAAATGTTCAAGAAACTATACATATAAATACCATTTTAAAGAACAGAAAATTCAGGCCTAGCCATGTAACACACAGATAGTACTACCACTTGGGAAGCTGGAGGTCACATGGGAGGCCTGGGTTTAGTTTGTGCGCAAACCTGAACATGCCAGGTATGCCTATGCACACTTGTAAACCTACCTGATTATGGTCTGGCAGGAGGGTGGTTGACACTATGTGACCCCGTCAAAACTATTGCTCTTTTTCTCTCACTTTCTTTCTCTCTCCCTTCCCAATGGTATGTTATAAAATATTTATCAGCATTTTCCCCCTCCTTTGTACTACATAAAATAATGGTGTCTCTTAATAACCAATGTCATTTCAGTTTTGAAGACAATAACTGTACTCATTCATTGTCATTCTTAATCTAGATATGAAGTTAAAGTAACAATAAATGAATAAATGAATATACCTCTGGTTATTTTGAGACGTTATTCTTACCTGCTCACAGGGAGCTTTCTGTAAAGTAATTGTGAATTTATCTTTTCCCGTCCCTTTCACAAGGATGTACTGGCACATGCCAATAAAAGAATAATGTCGGCCATCAAAAGTTGTAAAATGAGAATCGCCCACAACTGAGCATTGAACTACCAAAAGAAAAAAAGAAAAGAAAGAAACAAAAGGGAAAGGAGCAGGAAATAGAAAAAGAGGAAGAAAAAAATAATGTTATTTCTTAAAAGCAGGAGATTTAGGATAGATTTTTATGCATCAAAATAACACCTGAGTGTTGGGACCAGCAGTTAGCATAATGGCTATGTTGCTGAACTCCCATTCAACCGTGGTTCAAGTCCCGGATCCAGTGGTTTAAACTCACATGTGTATGTATGCCCAAGATCCTGAGAGAATGGAGGAGAAGGGATTGCAGCATGGCCATCGCCCTGGGGGGTGATTTCTCGCTTTTTGTACCTCTGTCTCTCTCTGTCTGTCTGGCAAGCACAAAAACCTCTCCAAAAAAAAATTTTTTTTAATTAAAAAAAACACCTAAGTGTTTAAAATTTACAGGTTTGACAAACTTTACAGATTACATTGCATGATTCAATTTAAGATTTATTAAATGATAGCTCTTCCATGTATGGTTTTGGTTTTGTAATATTTAGTCCACTTTAATAAAATTTTCAAAAGTTGCCTGCTTAAAACTATAATTTATTCAAGCCAGCTGTTGGCATGGGGGTTAAGATGGCTGGACTCCACATGGTCAAAAGGTTTGAGTTCTGGACCAGGCAGCTTAAAAACATGCCCCACACATGTGCGTGCATGCCCGAAATCCTGATGGAAGAACGGAAAGAAGGGATTAGGCATTGCCATCCTTCCCAGGGGTACTTTCTCACTTACCCTTTCTCTCTAGCAATAAGTGCATGCACCTTATAGCAAATTTTTTAAAAAATCATTTTTTAGTCACTTAGCCTCTGAATACTTCCATTTATAGATAACATCCCTCATTAGATATTTTCATAAAAATTGATGCTCTCTTTCTCAATAAAAAAAAAATGAAACATTTTCTTCAAAAATTATTTAAAAGATTACCTGGACAGTCATGTTCAGTGCAGTTCCAAATTCCACCAACACAGACACTAAATGAAATTATAAAAATATTAATCTACTCATTAAAAAAACTTTACTAATGTTCACATCAATATATTGATTATTATAACAAAATGTATCATATTTATAGGTTGAGAATAATCTGACTTGAAAAACATCTCTACAAAAGTTCTACTGACTGATAGCAGAACTGGGTAGCATCTAAGCTCACAATATTATTATTTTATATCTATTTTTACTGCCATCACATATTTTAAAAAAAGAGAAGACTCATCCTTTTATGTAAAATAACAATATATTCCAACCTCACAAAGAGTTCTGGAGAAGAAAAGCAAAGCTCTCATAAGGCAGGAGCTGAAATCAGTATCTGAGAGCATGGCTAGTTTTCGGACTGCGTTTCAGTGACATGTACTGACGCAAAGGAAAAGGAGCTCCGTAACACTGGATATGTGTTTCTTTTTTAAGATTGTCCAAGGAGAATTTCATGTTTGCTGAGATTGTTAGTTAGCTAATTTACTAAGAAACTCCAAATGTTTCTAATCATACAAAAATTGGCAATATGGATCTTTTTAAAGTACTCACTAGATAAACCTAGGAGCACCATCAAGTTTCAAGAGTAAAAGTTATATGCAACTTAATGATTAAAAATGATAAGAAACTGCCACAGAGTCATCACGTGAATGTAAGTGTTTATGTCCAGGGAAGTAATAAGAATTGTGTTTTAAAAGAAAATATAATAGATTACCCCCTACACAAACAAATGGAGTTTGAATAAAATGCAAACTCTATCAGACAGAATTTTTGGAAGAAAAGGAATAATAAGCATATTCCTTTAAATATCTCTCAACTAGACAAGTACCCAGGCACAACTGACCACACATTGAGTACATACCATTCAGTACATTCTTGCTCAATTTTTGAACCAACAGAATAAGCTAATCCATGAAAACTACATGGACAGTTTTCCAAGGAGATACAAGTCCCATTGTCCATTATGAGGCCTATTTAAGAAAAATATGTATCAAATTATCAAAGGAAACAATAAAGATTGCATTCTTTGAATTAAGCATTCAACTAACTTTTATTGAACATCTGCTTACACTAGGTGCTAGAAATACAAATTCTTTTTCTTTAAGGAGGTTCCTGACAACCTGGCTCTTCTCAAATCAGCAGCCAATTTATAGGGGTTTATTTCAGTGGATTTCAGCTTTTTTAAACCATGACCTGCTATCAAAAACTAAAGGTTCACCTTCAGTGTTCCCTTGTATTTGAGGAGAGAAGGAGAGAAGGTCAAAGTATTTTTGGCTTAGTTTCTGTTCGCTCCAAGATGAGAGATGTACACCACCGAGATCATCAATAGCGAGGCATTCCGGCTCAAAGGTCCAACCCAGTGGGACTGCGCTTGCCATTTCTCTCTGACTAGTAACGGAGGATGAAACAGAACTGATTCACCATGTTCCTACGCAAACTGTTTCACTCAGCTGACCCTTTTTTATAGCAAGACTTTATAGAAAAAGCACTGATTTATACTTAGGCACATAGATTTCTGTTTTGGTTCTAGCTCCTTAACCTGTCATCAACTGGTAACAAAGAGCTCAGATGGGCCCTGCTTTACCATACTTTGAGTAGCACTGAAATGACAATAAACTGAGGTCAACAGATCTGGATCCAAGTAACGCTCATTCATATTAAGTATATGACATTGGGAAAAAAAAATCAGTTGACATCTCATTTTAATCTATAAAAATATAAGAGTTTGTGTAAACCTCTGTGTTTTTTATAAATGTCTATAAGTAGAACAGAGTCAGTCTTGAATTTAAATCCCACCTATATCACTTGCTGAGATACTTTTCATTTCAGATATTGAAACGACATCAAGACTAACATCTACTGGAAAAATGTGAAGGCTTTTTCTCAAACTTGCTTACATCTTTTAAAAACTGAAAATACATAAATTATTAAATATCATTAAATATTAAGAGAAAAAAAGATTTGCCAGAGGTAACTTCAGGACTGTAGATTCTGAGTTTCCTGGAAATTTTACAAAATAAAGAATCTTTTATTAGAGAAAAACAGTCGATCTTCCCAGTAACCTCAGGAACTGTAAGGGTAGAAAACAGCAAAACGAACTGGGAGAAAACCAGCTTCTACGAGTACGGACATGGCTTCTTCATGAGGCACTTACCATCTGGGCAGTAACAGCCATCAAGACAATGCAGATTGCTCCCAAGACATTGCTTCTCAAAAGTGCAGGTTGGTGGGCAACAGCTGATACAATCCCGATGGACAAAGCTATCATCGCATCTATCAGCTAAAGCAGGCAGACAGAGGAGCTGTGGGTCAATTTTATTCATGTCTCTTTATAAAAATCAGTGTTTCAAAATTATGCAGGTTTAAATCAATAAAATGTGAAAAGAATAAAGAGGGGCATGGAGAGCAACTGTAGGTACCAAAGACAGTATATCTAAGGGTGGGAAATGGCAGAGGTGAAAGAGAGGGAATCAATGGTGGGGAGGAAGCAAAATATATAAGAAACAAGAAATGGAAAACTGTTAACGATAACACGATGGTAATATCCTTGATTGAGCCAATACACAGTGTAGTCTGGATGGAGAATCTCACTTTGTACACTGTAATAGTGTACAGTGAATTAATGTAGATAAAAAAATTTAAAACAAAAAATAAATAAATAAAAATTATGCAGGTTTACAAATATAACTGAATCAATAAGAAAAGCCTGGCAATTCATTAGTTTTGAGTACCAAAGGTAAGTTTTTAGTTGTAAGATAAACCAAAAGAGCAAAATACACAGGAGTGTGTGTGTGTGTGTGTGTGGGTGGGGGGGGGGGGAAAACAAGCAAACATACTGCACGCTGGAAAGTCATCTCTCCAGTCCTGAATAGGGTAGCCAGCATGAGAACAGGCTCTAGCATACTCAGTGGCTGCTCGGCAATAGGTTTCATCATCATCAGTTCTAAAAAGCAAAAAGACAGAGCCAAGATGACAGAAAATATTGACAAACCCTGCCTTTGACCACCTACTTCCTAAAAATGGTGAGCGCATGGTGAATATTCCAACACTAATTGATGCTAGCATGTATCATTATATACGATAATGTATTGCTAGATACAGTAAGGCAGAAGACACATAAACATGAGATCCCAGTTAAACTGAGGTATAAACATTGTCAAAGCCTTTTAATAATACCTCTACTTCTTTTCCCAGTGGAAGGACGGCTACACTGAAAGATTCCTATTGTAATTATGAAATTCTTTCCCCACTTAGATTTGCTCCCAAAGCATCATATACCTTTTAGCATTTAGTGAATCCCATTAAAACACATAAAGTTCCATTATGACAAAAAATATCTAGTATGAAGATTGTTTCCAAGGTACTATGCTCTTCAATATACTGGAATAAAACCAAAACCAATAATCTGTAGCACTCAAAAAGTATTTTAACGGTTATCAGGCAGTTCTTGCAGTAAGACTCTAAAAACATTTTGAAAGATTGAATAAACAGCATTTAATATTTAAAAGAAGACTTTGAGTTCTCTCAAGTTTTAATTACTAAAGCTAGTTACTTTTACAGTATTACCAAGGGTAAATAATCTCTAATTATTTTCGTATAATGCTTTAGCTCCCCTAAACAATAATTTCTTATGAGGTCTGCCAATTCCCAAAGCAGATGAACAAGGCACCTCTGAAACAGGCAGGTTTCTAACAAGGTTGTGGCTTTCTTTTTAATTCAACCTAAACTCAAAATTGAATAGTTAAGTGTCTTAGGAGATAATGACCTTAAGAATGTTGCATTTTGTAAACCTTAATGTTTCAGTATCTCGATTGTAAAAGTCACCATCTCAAATTGCACTTATCTTGTGTGACTGTAATTGGAGTCATGCAGTTTATCTAGTTCAATTAACTGAGCCTTAGAAGGAGAAAAGGTCTGACCACATAAACTCCAGAAGCTCAGAAAATATTCTCAACCTACAAACAAGGAAAGTCTTTTCTAAAAGCAACATATGCTAAAATTGTTGAATTCCCAGAAAGACATCAAGTTCATGACTTACGATAAAATATGGATATTGTTTCCTACAATTAATGCTGGTTCTAAAAGTTGCAATGTGAGTATTGGTTTCCGAACTTGATGCAACTGTTGCATTATTAAAATACCTACCATTTATTAAATGTCTATGTCGCTATGGGAGCTGTGCGAGGCAAATTAACATATGGGATGTCACAAAAACTCACAGTTGAACAAGAAAGAAATTACTATCCCTGGGACCAGCAGATTGTGTAATAGTTACATCATTGAACTCCCATGTAGTCAACTGCAGTTCAAGTCCTGGACTCGGCAGCTTAAAACACGCTACACCAAGATTCTGAGAGAAGAATGGAGGAGAAGGGATTGCAGCATGGCCATCTCTGCTGAGGGATTTCTCACTTTCTGTCTTTCTGTCTCTCCAGTGATTTCATGTGCCCTATAGCAAAAAATCTCGCTCAAAAAAAAAAAAATACTATTCTATTTCACTGAGGGGAAATAAACTTGGTTTTCTATTTTGGATGTTAATTTTAATAAGAAAAAGCAGCACTGAAGAGCTGTGATTTTTACATCAGTTGACCTTAACATGGCAAAATAATTTCCTTGCTGCCGGGTTTGGCATCCTCAGGAGCAGAAATAAAAGAGCATAATTTTAATGATTGCATATTGTATCATCCTTCAAATTTCAATTCAAATATCATCTCCTTATGTTGCCTTCATAGGCATTTCCTAAAAAGTTAGTAGTTCTCTTCTCATGTCTATAGCTTTTTATGTTAGAGCACTGAGTTACTGAAGGAGACCCTTCTCTTTGCCTCACTCGAATATGAATTCCTAGGACAAAGACTACATCTAAATTGTTTCTGTTTCTCTAATTTGTGATACATCACTCAGCTCAAAATAGATGCTGTTGAACTGAATTCAATATGCTACCCTAATCCAGGCAGGAAAGTAATTATGTTCAGCCAATTCACATTTTCATTCTCAGGGTAGTGGATCTTTGTGATATGTCCCCTAACACGGGAAATGAAGAGAATTATTCATTCCTATACAGTAGAAGAGAAAGTGTAAGTAGGCCTAGTTCAGAATGAGACATTAAGGGGAGTAACAGGCTAACTCTGGCAGTTTCTCACTTCCAATTCACTGCCCACTTTCACAATTACAAAGCCCTTCCTGTCAGTACACGCCTGTTATGCCGACAAACCCAGACTCTCCACCACAGACTTATTTCTTAAGGTGTAAGCTAATTTCAACCAGTACCAGGTTTTTCTCTAAGCTGCTACTTTTATTATGTCATGGAGAAGCACCAAATTTTTTTGATTTGTTTTGAGATTTTTGCTATTAGAGCGTGTTTGTTCACCAGAGAGACAGAGACAGAGAGACATAAGGCAAGACATCACCCCCCACAAAGGGAACAAGCAGACAGAGACAGAGAGACAAAAGCCACACTGCAATCCCTTCTCCTCCATTCTCTTCTTGGGATTTTAGGCACGCACGCAATATACACCCAGGATGAGTTTCAAGCCACCGGGCCTGGGACTATAACTGCATTCAATCCATAGGAATCCAGGCCTTAACCACCACACCACCTACTAGCCCCAGCACCAAAGTTTTAAAAGCTAAAGACTAAAGATATCAAAATTTCAAAAGACAGAACTGTTAAGTTTTTTAATGATGGAATTTTAGACAAAACAGGTGTAACACAGACCACTTTTTGTTCAGTTCTCCTTTGTACAGTATTGGAATCCCAAACTTTCTCTGGGCACATGACTGCTCTCCCAAAGCCAGCATTTCCAGCCTGCCTGACATGTAGGTGTGGCCATGTTTCTAAGTTCTGGCCAAATGGTTAAAAGTGAGAGTGTGCATTCAACTTCCAGGTCAGAAGAGGCCAGCCATCTATTTCTCTTTCTCACATTTTAAGGGATACAATGTGGGCATGGAAGTGGTGAGCCAGTTTGGGCCATGAAATTGAGAATAACACCACAGACCAAAGCAATCGTGTAGCAATAAGTTCACTGAGTCATTGGAAAACACACAGAAGAGCCATGATGCCAATCCAAGACCACTTACCAGGTAGCATTTTTATTTGAGAGAAAAATAACTTTTCAATTTAATGTAATCACTGTTACTTTGGCTCAACCTAGTAATGGCCTAACTAAAAAATTAAAAAAAAAAAAAAAAAAAGGCTTTCCTGGGCCTACTAAATGATACGTTATCTCAGCTTACTTGCGAAATAGGTACTATGTTATTAAGACAATTTAAAAGAGTAGTCTAAGAAAGAGTATTTGTGAAATAAGAACAGTTTTGTTTTGTTTTGTTTTGCTTTGCTTTGTTTGGTTTCATTTTTGAGAGATTTTTGCTATAGAGTGGATGCACTCTCCAGAAACACAGAGTGAGACAGAGGGAGAGAAAATGAGAAACCATCCACCCCAGGAGGATGGCCATGCTCCAATCCCTCCTCCTCCATTCTCCTCTCAGTATTTGGGATGCACAAGTACATGAGCTCAGCATGAGTTTCAAGCCATCTGGCCCAGGATTTGAACCATGGACGACTATCTGGGAATCTAGAGCCTAAAGCACTATGCCACCTGCTGGCTCCAATAAGAACAGTTTTTAATATATGGCTCCATAAGGACTATAGACTACTGACAGATATTCTCAAAAACAAAGACTATGTAAAAGAATAAAGGAATATAAGTAGCTCTTAAAAAATAAAAGAAAAGAAGGAAGAGAATTTTTAAAATATATATATTAAGAGGAATACCCAATGTTTTAGGTTGAAGAGCTCTTTCAAAGCACCTGCATTAGCTAGAGAACCTCTAAAATTTAGATATTGTACATATAAATCAAGGCATAACTGTACTCTATTCAAAATTAAAAGATAAAACAAGTAAGTTCATTTTAATATCTAGAAACTATTACATTCATTACTTTTATAATTTGTTTAATTAAAGAGAATTAGTTATAGATTTAGTTCATACTACTTCAATTTCTCTTTGTTCTCACCCTTTGATAAGTTTAAACTTCTTAACAAGCTACCCAAGATGTCATTTGAGTGGTTTAACTCAACAACAACAACAACAACAAACCACCTTGGTCTTTTACAAAAAAAAAAAAAAAAATTCCTATGTAAGGACCAGCAGATGGTATAATGGTTATTTCACTGAACTCCCATAGAGTCGACCATAATTGGATTCCCAGACCTACGGGCTTGAAACTCATACCAGGCACATGTGCGTGAGTTCCCAAAACCCAGAGAGGAGACTGGAGGAGAAGGGGTTGTGGTGTGGCCATCCCCACTGGGGGGTGATTTCTCACTTTCTGTCTGTCTCTCCAGTAAGCATATGCACCCTATACCAAAAATATTTCTCTAAAAAGAAAAATTCCTATGTATTATTTATATTTCCTGTGATTGATAAAAAAGAAGGCATATTAAAATTTCTTCAGGCATTTTTGAACATTCAAGATAAATAATTACATACTTTATAATCTTTTAGAAAAAATTGTAACACACTTTACTTCAACAAAGGGTATTTATAGTAAGTTTTACATGAACTACTAGGATGACTCCAGCTGAATTTTTTTTGCCTACACAACCACTTACTTTAAGTGTTCCTAACTCAGACAGAATGCAGGAGAGTGACTTTAGATAGGAAAAATATATTTTCAATAATTTCCACATGCAACAGAATTTCTTTCATATAGTCAGCACAATACAATATTCTTTTTTAAAAATAATTATTTTATTTAACTTTATTATTATTATTATTATTTAATTTGACCAGAAAGAGACAGAACGAGAGAGAGGGAAAGTGAGAAAGCAAGCCACCAGGTTTGGGACTTGAACCATGGTATGTGGGAGTCCAGCACCTTTAACCACCACACTGCATATGCCGGCCCCCACAATACAATATTCTTAGCAGTATCTGTGACTTTCATGAACATGTCTGATATCTTATTTTTTCACATTTTCATTTCTTTTTACACCTGTTACAGATATCACAAAATATTGTTTATACTCATCATTATGACAAATTGTTGCAAGTTATTAGATATGAAACACATAACACACACATACAGTTATATCAGAAATTTATCTATTTTACGATTTCGACACAATTAGTTTACCTAGTAACCTTTTATCTTTTCATCTGTTCAGTTCAAACACTATTTTGATCAAAGGTCCACAGATCTCTCAAGAATCCTGCAAAGAGACTCTGTTCTGCACTCTATTCATGCTGCTTGTATAAAATATTTAGTCTGTACCTGTTAGATAGTTAGCTTCTAATAGCTGTTAATACACCTTAAGTTTTACATTACCCATTATGTTTTGTAAACTGCTAAAACGGGTAGTTACAGAAGTCATCTTGCTATTCTTTCCACATAAGGAAAATGTTATTGTACACACAAATCATTTCACTTACTTGCAAAGATCATTCACACAGCTGGCAATATACAAATATGGATCGATATATTCATGGCAGCTTAGAAAAGGAAACTGCAACAGTATCTGACACTTGAAGAATATGGCCTGCACAGAAGAAGACCCCAGTCACCAGGATATATTTAATCACATGTACTTCCACTTATTTTTAGTGAGCTATAAGCAAGATTACTCATATCAGAAAAGAGACGGTAATTTATTCTTACAAAATTTAACCGACGGTTTTAACTGCATATTTTCATAATGAGAACTACATTTGTGAACTCTTTATATTCACTATGTCTGAAATCATCTTAAAGTTAATCCCTGTAACAATTGCATTTCCTGATTTAATATTTGAAATTAAGTTCTATTTACACTAAAAATGCTTAGGGTCAGATATCAATGCCATGGAAATGCAATAGGACTCATAATACGAAGGTGTCTGATAACCATCCCAAGGCTTCCCTGAACACCCTGGACAGGTGACCCATATTGGCTGGGGCTATGGATAGTGAACAGCTTAAAGGCCCTGCTGGGGTTTCTCCCTTACTCTCTGAAGGAAGAAATGAATAAATAATTAAACTTTTTTATAGGCCTTATGCTAAATATAAAAAATGTTTTTGAATCTATTATGTCCAACATTTCAAATTTTTCACACCAAATTTACCTCAAATGCTGGCATTCCACTGGAGCATGGATTTGGAAAATCTGAGGGTGTGGGTACACATCTGATGTCATCTGGCATTTGCACCAACCAGCTATTTGCAAACATAGCAATGTCTTCTGTATAGTCCTCTATTTCACATAAAAACATACACACAAATTGGTGTAACTGGATCACTTTACACAAACACAGACACAGTTCTTCAACATAAACTTTATGGTCAAAAAGTTAAACTCAGTAATATTAAAATTGCCAATGTGACCATAGACAGTAACATTGCTTTAGCATCATAAAAATAAATTCAACAAAGTATCCATGCTAAATAAAATAGTACCATTAAAGAGAAAAAGAAAACTACATCGAAACAACATGATGAGGACTGAAAGTGAACAAGTATAAGAAACACACCAGGAAAGCCAACGTTCAGTTTACAATGTAACAAGAGAAAAAATAAGCACAAAACTAAGAAACATAAAACTTTGGTGTGAATGTTTTCAGACAGCTCACTTGTTATATTTGTCATTAGTAAGAACCTCATTAAAACTGTCATGGTTCACAATATTACAAATAGTTCTTGTTGGGCTAGGTGATGGTCAGCACCAATGCAAATGGCCCCTCATGGGAATGGTCTTGGGTTTGCATTCCAGGACTTCCCTGAGCATGCTGGGTATACACGCATATTTGTGATCTGGGCCAGCTGGGACTAGGGGGTAAATCATAGCCTAGAGTATCTGTTGGGGGGTGTCTCTCTCTAGGCCTTTAAGATCTCTCTCATGGAAGAAATAACTTTAAAAAAAACCTCTTAAATTTTTGTCATTTTTTGTTAAGCCTTTGAGAATACTTCAGAGGACAGGCACATAGACTATGAGAGACCAGAAAAGACAAAACTGAGAAGAGAACCAAGATCATCTAAATGTGATAAACTTGTTTCTAAACATGTTCAGGAAAGACAACCCAATATTAAGAATTGTGAAGTTATGGGGCCAACAGATGGCATAGTGGTCACTGAACTTCCATATGGCCAACCACAGTGCAAGTTCCAGACCGGGTGGCTTGAACATCTCGCCGGTACATGTACGTGAGTGCCCAAGATCCCAGGAGGAGAAGAGAGAAGGGATTGAGGTGTGGTCATCTTTCTGGGAGGGTAATTTCTCACTTTCCCTCTCACTGTCTGTCTCTCTCTCTCTCTCTCTCTCTCTCTCCCTCCCTCCCTCTCTCTCTCTCTCTCTCTCTCTCTCTCGCAAGTACACATGCCCTATGGGAAAAAAATTCTAAAAAATAAATGAATAAAATAAAGAATTGTGAAGCTATCTTAGCATCATTCAGAGGCAAGATTCAAGAGCTAATTTGTAGGAAGAAAGAAACAGATGTAGGTCGTGATAACTCTGAAGTGCTGGCTCCAAATCAAATTTAAATTGTCTCAACACGTGACCTGCAAACAAATTCAGGGCCTGCCTGATACAGAAATTAATCTTGCTATACATTCAGACAAAGACTAAACCTCAAATTTCAAAAAATTGTTAGAATTGAACAAGATGACATCTCAAAGTTCCCTCTAAGACAGTGAAATGTCAGAGTTGAGATTTGGGTTCTCCACTACCTGGATCTGCATGGTCACAGGTCTACCCCTGAGGACAACCTATTGCACCACAAACATCAAACATTGCAAGCCAAATATTTTAGCCCTCTGAGCATTTTCAAGACAGGAAGATGATGTCTGGGTGCTACACGAAACACCAGGAAGACTGTGGGGATTATCCACAATAAGACATTGCTCTCTTAGTGTACAATCCCAAACTATTCTGTAGCCTGGAAGACTTCTCATGATCTTGTCCCATACTTCCCATATACCCTACCCTGCCCACCTTTGACCTGCCCATTCTTTTTTTTTTTGGAGAGGTTTTTGTCATAGGGCGCGTGCGCTTGCCAGACAGAGAGAGACAGAGAGAGACAGAAAGCGAGAAATCACCCCCCAGGGGGGATGGTCATGCTGCAATCCCTTCTCCTCCATTCTCCTCTCGGGATCTTGGGCACGCACGCACACACGCCCAGCGTGAGTTCTAAGCCACCAGGTCCGGGACGCGAACTGCAGTCGACTACGTGGGAGTCCAGCGACATAGCCATTACGCTAACTGCTGGTTCCATGCCCTGCCCATCCTATATCTTCTACTCCTCTTCCTACTCAGCCTACTCCAGTCATACTAGTTTATGCTTTTCTTCAAGCACTCAAGCTCATTTCCACCTCAGGGAACTTGTTCCTACTCTTCCTCCTTCAAATCCACTCTTCCCGCAGACCTTCGTTCACTACCTCCCTTACTTCAGTTAGGCCTCTGTTAAATGTGCCCTCCTCAGAGTCCTTTTCCACTGCATGATTTAGGCTAACACGAAACACACATTTCTGCCATCCCTCTTTCCCCTTCTCCCACTTTTTTTCATGTCTGCCTTTGCTCACAGAGAATAAATTGTAATCTGTTTGTCACTGTATTACATTTTGTCTTACACTATAATACACACAAGGTGATTTTAAATGTTTGTGGAAAAATGAATAAGTATATGAATTTATTTGGGGGCCAACATTTGAAATTCATACATAGTCTTTAGTAATACACATGTCCGTAAACTTTTTGAAGACCTCCCTGCAAACAACATAAAAGGAGAAAGTTTGTTTCAGCTGTTCTACTGTTATATCCCTAGTTTACACCTGTCATATAATTGACACTCAAAATGTATTTTGAGTAATGAACAAATTAATGAATAAATGCAGTTGACTCTTGAAAACACAAGTCGAAACTGCACAGGTCCACTTATCCATGGATTTTTATCAACATTTACTGTCATTATATTTTCTCTTCTTTATGATTTTCTTAATATGTTCTCTTCTCTAGCTTACTTTATTGCAAGAGTACAGCCTATAACACATGTAATACATATACAAAATATGTGTTAATCAAATACTTATGTTATCAAGAAATCTTTCAGTTAAGAGTAGGCTATTAGTCAAAAGTAATACATAGATTGTCAACTGAGCAGGGTGTTCGTACTCCTAAGTCCCACATTTTTCAGAGGTCAAATGTATAAGAGTTTGGAATACTTATTAAATATCAACAGATTATTAGAAATACTAATGCTTTCATATTTTGCCACACGTTTTATCTCTTATATCACTGGAAATTTTACATACTAAACAAAGCATGGGTCTACTTATTTGAAAAAACTGGGGTGGCATGGTACTTAAGGTGGCTGGATTCCCATGTGATCGACCACATGTTCACTGGGCACATGTGTGTGCATACCCAACAGGAGGAGAATGGAAGAGAAGGTATTGTGACATGGCCATCCTCCCTACAGGGTGATTTCTCACTCTCCCTCTCTCTGTCTCTGAGCACATGTGTCCTATGACCAGAAAGAAAAAGAAAAAACTGTGTCCTTTTAAAATAAATTTATAGTCACATTTCATTTCACAAAATTATTATTTTCTTTAAAAGTCTGAAAAGCCAAAAATATTTTCCAATGGCCCAGCTATTTTAATATTTATACACTAATTTTAATATTACTAAGCAACCTGGGTAATCCCTTAGAGTTCACATCAATTTCAGCTTTTGAATCACATATTTGACTATTTTTACCCCATTACATTAATAAAAGAATCACAAATGCTGTTCATCATGAGATTTTAAAATCCCTATCAGTGTTACACGAGTCTGCTAACTTAAACCTAAAATGCTTTGTATAAAACATAGTCTACATACAGTAATTTATCATCCATATTGGGATACTTTTGAGAGTGAAAGAGAGGCACTATTAATTATGTTGGAAAAAAATAAGAATAAACCAGGACTCCTACATTGGTGCATAACTAGACATAGACATGAATTATGGAAACGGAATTCTTAACCAGGCAACAAATTAAAATCTTTCTATGTGCACAGAAATTCTGAAGAGTCTCATTTTTTTGTGAAGTCATCCCTGAAGGGTGAGTGGAAATACAGAGAGAAATACAAATTTAATCACTGTTAAGAAACTATGCATTCCATGTCATTCAACCAACCTATCTAACGCTCTGTAAAGATTTATCTAATCAGCAAAGTAAGGCTGAGTACAGTTTCAAGAAAATACTAACACCTTAAAGCTAAAGGTAATACAACTCATCTCCAGACATTTTCTTGCATTATTACAGTACAGGAGGAAACAGCAAGACAGTTTTTTGTCATATCCTTACAGAGTTGTAAGTTCATTTTTTTGTTTTGTTTTTTTTAACTACTTTGCCTTCCTCCAAGCAGCTGCAATTCTGAAAAAGCTAAATATCTCTTTGGGCCCCTCCCACACACTTTCAGGAGTCCTTGCCTTCTACCAGAACAGCCATAATTCAGATCAGTTGTCTCCTGCCACTTCCTATCTGCTTACACCCTTTTGCAGGCTGCCAATTATCTCACTGTGAGTGACCTTTTCATGGTCCAGGCTATCAAAGAGTGTCTGGCCCCGAACTCAAATCCCTACTGTGAGTTTTCCTGCCTCTAACAAAAGCACATGTTCTGTTCTTTTCTTTCTTTCTTTTTTTTTTTTTTTTTCATTTAGAGAGAAGGTATTTCTATGCTACCTAGATTGACCTGAAATTTTTAATCATCCTTTCTTCAGCCTCCAAGGGGCCAGAAATACAGGCCTGGTCAGATGCTAGTTTCTATCCTGACCTCCTATCACGCTACCTCAACATCTCAAGGGAAGCTGCCCAAAACAGTCTTTTCTAAATTTAACAGTGAAAACTGGATTAAGTAGGTTTTGGGGTTTCTTTTTTTTTAATGAAGTATTGATACAGATGAAAAAGATATCAGTAATTACCATTTGAAGGATTCTGCCTGAGTCTAAAAGCCCACTTCCCAATACAGTTTCAAGTGTCCAAATTTGTGAACCTGCACACTGGAAATACCCAAATGGATGTAAAACACCATTTAATGATGATCCTAACATTGTACGTTTGAATTATGCTCACAGACCTTTGAACGTTCACTTACATTTTCCCATTCAATATTTAACAGTTGGAAAGTTTTCAGGATTTATATTATAATCTCCATTTTATATATGAGGAAATGGACTCCTTAGAACTCTGCTCTCTACTCTAGCTACTAGTAAACTAAATGTGATGATCCATTTTCCATCTAGGGTAAAATGTTTACATTTTAATAAGCACCTCTTAAAGCAACATAAAGACATTTCAAATACTTTTTTTTCAGCTTCACTATAACATAAAGACATTTTCAAACATTTTTGTTTTAACTTCACTATAAGCTTATTGAGGAGATACTTCAAGATAATCATAAATTACATAAAACGTATTGAGTATTATCTATATGGTGGGAAATATGCTGTTATGCATGGACTGTTTCACTTAAGTCTTGCAATTCTATGAAGTATATACTGTTATTACATTATTAAACTTAGGAAGTGTATAGGTGGCAAAGTAGAATTTGAATTCCACAGACTAATTCCAGAGCCCACACTCTCTACGTAGACTTTTAGCATCACTTAAAACAAAGCACAGGAACTCATCTCTCTGAATATTGTAACATAAAACAAAGCATTATATATCGCTTTACAACTCAGAGGCAATTGTTCACACACTAAGCATAGGATTCAGAGCCAATCAGATCTGACATTCAACCTAACAATATTGATTATAAGCTGTGTTAAACTAGACACATCACCTTGTGTCTTCATTATAAAATGAAGACAATGCTACCCACGTTGAAATATGCTGTGAGGGTTGGGAATACTAGAGATATATACTCATAGTAAACATTATCATCGCTTGTATCAAAGTGGGATCAGCAGGTGGATGGTAGTTAAGGTGCTGGACTCCCACAGGGTCAATGTGGTCTGAGTCCCAGGCCTAGCCACCTGAAAATCATGCCAGGACATACACATGTGGGCCCAAAATCCCAAAAGGAAAATGGAGAAAAAGGGATTGTGGCATGGCCATCACCCCTGAGAGGTGACTTCTCACTTTCCCTCTCACTGTTTCACTCTGTCTCTTCCAGCAAGTACAAGAACCTTATGGCAAAAAGTTAATTAAAAAAAAAAAAAACTATCAAGGTATATTATTATTACTGATTAGTCTATTAGTTCAGAATTATTATATCCCTACTTTTACGGCACAAAAAGTAAGATCACAAGATTCTTAGACTTCTGTAGAGCAAGTCAGGTTTACCGGTACTAAGAGCAGTATTCTTTTTTTATTGTGCCTTTGTGTGTGAACTTAAATCATGATTATGGCTTGTGATTCTCTTAGTCCATTGTCACTGTGCACTGGTATCAGAGTACAAACAGAACTATATCCAATAAGTCACCATCAATAGTTTCATGTCTTAGATTTAATAGACAATCAAGTAGGTATATAAAATTTTCCAAGTTACTATTCAACTTTTATAATTCTATAAATATTTTACCTTTAGAAAAACTATTATATGTCAGTTATTTAATTTATTCTTAACAAGACTGGATATTAAACAGCTTTTGTCCTGAAGCAGATATGTTTGACCCAAATGGACTTGACTCACTAGGATATAAATTCCAAAAGGAGGGGGGGCTATTTTGTTGTTGTTGTTCACTGATGTTTCCTAAGCTCCTTCAGCAGTGAATATAGTTGTATCCCAGACTCCAAAGTAAATGCTCATTAATACTTGTTATGTAAATATTTCGTCTTAATTTAACAAATGTAAATTTTCAAATGTATCAAAAAAATTTCTGTTTTCAACCTTCACTTAAAAATCACTAGAGCAGGCCAGTGACAAATATGAATTTTCCTCACCCTTTGTTAAGGCTGGATATAAATAGCTCACGAGTGAAGGAAGGAGATTTTAGAAATACCCAATATTTCTTCTGCTCCATTTACTTACCTTCCTGAATTATGAAATCATCAGATTGAATGCCATTGTAGTTTGCACATAAACCACATGATTTCCCTTTATGCTCGTCAGACAGTTTCAGGTAAATTCCAGATATTCCATCCCAGGCCAAAGAAAAGCCAAAGCTTGTTTTCACCAAAATGTAGTCAGCTAGTTTCTCGATGAAAACCTGTCCAATTGTCTGAGGCAATGTTAAACTTGCAAAATGAAACAAAGCCAATTTAAGAATTATGATGAAGAAACAATTACAAATGATCTTTTTTATCTTGAAGCAACTGGAATAATTCATTAAGAGAACTCAGGCCAGTCAGTGGCATAGTATTCTACAACGTTGGACCCACTTTAGAAGGTCCTGGGTTTGTGTCCCAAGGCCTCCCTGTACATGACAGGCATGCACATATGTGCTTTGATCCAGGCTAGTAGAGATGGGAGACGATCACAGCATTGGGGGGGTGGGGAGGGGGGTCTGTCTCTTTGTCTCTCTATGTCATGGAAGAAATAAAGTTTCTTTAAAGGCTTCAAAAGAGAATTATTACTCAAAATTATTGAAGAACTATGTAGTGACATCTCCAAAGCAACTATCCTATGGAAATACTGACATTTTTGATAACTTCAGTGGGGCTGGCATGTGATGTGATGGTTGGGGCACTGGATTCCCACATGGCCAACTGTGATTTGTAAATATTTCGTCTTAATTTAACAAATGTAAATTTTCAAATGTATCAAAAAAATTTCTGTTTTCAACCTTCACTTAAAAATCACTAGAGCAGGCCAGTGACAAATATGAATTTTCCTCACCCTTTGTTAAGGCTGGATATAAATAGCTCACGAGTGAAGGAAGGAGATTTTAGAAATACCCAATATTTCTTCTGCTCCATTTACTTACCTTCCTGAATTATGAAATCATCAGATTGAATGCCATTGTAGTTTGCACATAAACCACATGATTTCCCTTTATGCTCGTCAGACAGTTTCAGGTAAATTCCAGATATTCCATCCCAGGCCAAAGAAAAGCCAAAGCTTGTTTTCACCAAAATGTAGTCAGCTAGTTTCTCGATGAAAACCTGTCCAATTGTCTGAGGCAATGTTAAACTTGCAAAATGAAACAAAGCCAATTTAAGAATTATGATGAAGAAACAATTACAAATGATCTTTTTTATCTTGAAGCAACTGGAATAATTCATTAAGAGAACTCAGGCCAGTCAGTGGCATAGTATTCTACGACGTTGGACCCACTTTAGAAGGTCCTGGGTTTGTGTCCCAAGGCCTCCCTGTACATGACAGGCATGCACATATGTGCTTTGATCCAGGCTAGTAGAGATGGGAGACGATCACAGCATTGGGGGGGTGGGGAGGGGGGTCTGTCTCTTTGTCTCTCTATGTCATGGAAGAAATAAAGTTTCTTTAAAGGCTTCAAAAGAGAATTATTACTCAAAATTATTGAAGAACTATGTAGTGACATCTCCAAAGCAACTATCCTATGGAAATACTGACATTTTTGATAACTTCAGTGGGGCTGGCATGTGATGTGATGGTTGGGGCACTGGATTCCCACATGGCCAACTGTGATTCAAGTCCCAGACCTAGCAGCTTGTTTTCTAATTCTCCCTCTCTCTGTCTGTTTCTCTCTGGTCAAATTGAAGAGTAATAATAAGTTTTTTAAAAAAGAAAACTTCAGTATTGAAAGAAAAGACAAAACGATATTGCTTATCCATACTAATTTAGATTTTATGCTTTCAATTAGATATTTTTAAAAATTATTTATTTTACTATTTTTATTTTGTGTAGAACACATGTGCTCATCAGAGACAGACAGAGTGGGTGGGAAAGTGAGAAGGCAAGCTGTCAGGTCCAGTACTTGAACTGTGGTCTCCCATGCAGGAGTCCAACACCTGAACCACCATGCCACCTACTGGCCTTTGGATATTTCTTTTGACACACAAAAAACACACAGCTGCTACATATCAGTAGTTTCTTAAAATGTGAAAGACATCCTTGCCTATGTAGAACGAAGGCTTCTATGTATTTATTTTTTATCTACAGAGGTAAAGATAAGCTAAAAATGCTATTCAACAGTTCTGAAGTAAAGACAAACAATGTTCAAAATATGTAAACATATTGCTTGAATTCTAATTTGTTTAATTTTATTTTAAAAATATCTATTAGAAAATAGGAGCTTCTGTCCTCAAAAATGTCACCTTGGCATAAGTCATCACTTTCTAAAAGAAAAATGTCTAGGGATAATTAATGATACCTTATACTTTTAATGGTGTAAGGTACTTTATTGGGGACATAATATAATTTGTCATACAGCATTACATAAGGGTTATATTATTAATTTTTAAATTGGATACAATTTGGTTTACTTAAATAAAGGTCATATAGAATATTTAAACTCTCAATTTGGTGACCAGTTTTGCTGTTTTTCACTTACAAATTTTGTGCATATACAAAAGAAATGAGAGGTATAAGGGACTAGAGAAATCTAAATAATTAGATATTTTTAAAGTACATATACTATCTAGAATACTTTTTAAAGAATATTGTTTTCATCACTTGTCAGTCTTTTGGCTAAGATCAAGTGAAAAATACTGTTCTCCTTCTATCCATGAGTATTGAAGAAAAAGCAGGTGTTAACAATTAAAGAAATCAAAAAGAAGGCATATCTGTCCAGGTAACAATATTAAATAAAAAGTATAAACCATAATGTAAAGATGGGTAGTTGATAGGTATATGTACATATTTTTCTCAAAAAATTCAAATTAGTGAGTTCCTTTTTAGGAAGAGCATGGTTATACATAATAGACACCATAAAACTGAATGTACTGGCTAACAAAGAGATAATTCCCAAAGAAGCAACTCTACATATCTGTAACCATTTGCACAAATAATTATTTACAGACAAACTAGCTATAAAAATAGAAAAAAGGCTAAAAATCTAGAGAATAAATAACACTAATATATTCTTATTAAAAATTATAAATATGAGGAATTCATTATAAAAGTCAGTATGAAATCGTCTTAAAAGAAAATCACTTGTTTTGAGTTTATAAATTTATAAAAATTATCTTGAAAAAATGAATCATGTTTATTAAATACTTTTCATACTAAGGTGATGCTAACTGCATGAAATAGTGTAGTTATTTTATGGTAGATATTTTTTGATTTAATAATTTTTCACTTGTCGGTCACTTTCATATAGCACATTTAATTAAATGCACAAGTTTTAACAAAGAAAATTAGATCACTCGGCTTATTCTGAAGTTTATGACAGAAGTATGCTAGTGGAGAGGGGGAACAACAGTTAAATCTCGATAACCTCCAATAAGTCTAAGGCAAAATCCATACAACTTAGGCAGAAAACATTAAAATATTAAACTAAAAGAAATGCATGGATTGATGCTAAAAAGTATTCAGGGGCTCATTTGTACTAAAACCTGTGTTTCACAGGTGAAAGAACTGAAATCCAAAGAGGTAAAGCTTAATGTAGAGTCATGCACATTTTATATCACTTTGGCAAATATTTCCTAGCACTTGTTATGAGTTAGGCCCTAGGCCAGGAACAGCATTAGAATAAGCAACACTGGGACCAGCAGTTAGCATAATGGCTATGTTGCTGGACTCCCATGTGTAGTCAACCGTGGTTCGAGTCCCGGACCCGGTGGCTTAAACTCACACCGGGCGAGTGTGCTTGCGTGCCCAAGATCCCGAAAGGAGAATGGAGGAGAAGGGATAGCGGTGTGGCCATCCCCCCGGGGGATGATTTCTTGCTTTCTATCTCTCTGTCTGTCTCTGTCTGGTGAGCGCATGTGCCCTATAGCAAAAACCTCTCCAAAAAAAGAATAAGCAACACTGCTGAATAATAAAGAAAAAGCAAGTCTTTTTTCTTATATCCTTATAGAAATGTTTTTTTTTAAATCCTTACAGAAATGCCTTCTCTGAATTAAATATTAGTATGCCCTTGTTTTAATGAAGGGTTGGTATTCTCAAATGTTTAACTTAAAGTCATTTTGTTATACAAAACATAATAATTTTTAAAAGTCCTCATTATCTACCCCAAATCCCACGAAAAGTACCTTAAATTACTATTGAAATTTGGCTCTAGGAATTATATATGTAAACACATTGGGTTAGTCAAAGCCCTTTCTGCCCCCAACTGCTGCCTCCTGAGGAGTTTAAATTGAAAAACATCTTAGGTTGGTAAGGTCATTGGACTGGAAAGAATCCCCATGGTTCAAACACTTGCTAGTTAGTTTTGAATGATGGAGAGAATTGTTCCATTCCACAATTTACTTTTCCTGACATAAATCAGCTAGGAAATATTTAAAATTGAGTGTCTCTGTAATTATTTAGATTGGAAAGTAGATAATTCCACAGTATTTCTAGATTAAAGTGTATAAAACAAAAAATATAAACATCCCCTTCCCAAAACTCTTAGGTCATATTCTTGCCAGATAGGAAGTCTGACCTACTCAAGAAGGCCAGTCATTTATTGGATCTGAGTTTTTGTCAGAACCTCAGTGGACTATCTCATGTGACACCCAAATCTCATTCACACAAACTTAGAAAGAACTTTCAGAATCTTTCCCAAAGTAAAATAAGATTTTTTAAAATTTTCTGCTTTAGAGAAAAAAAAAAAAAAGAGGACAAAAAAAAATCTGAGTTGAACAAAAACATCTCAGGAAAAACTGTGATGATTTCATCTCTACTTGTATAAACATATTTGTATCTTGCACAAGAATTAGAAAGGTTAAACTGGTTAGGTTCCTGGCCAGCAGGAAGTCTGCTTTAATTTTAATGTATGTGGAATATAATTTTGAGGATATTACTGAAAGGGAAAACCTCTCTTTCTATTCTCCACAATTCACTCCCAGTGTAAGGTGTTTAGAAATTCTATTATTCTATGGTGTTATTTCCATTTTATTATTTATCATATCTTACCTGATTCCATTCTTTTTTATTTCATGACCATAAATTTTAATTTCTTCTTGGTTTGAAAAGAACAAGCTGATTGACCGATAACAAAAATACACTGAACCAAGGCATTTAGGACTATTATGAACCTTAAATGAGAAAAACAAAAGAAAGCATAGGAACCAGCAACAACAAATAGTATTCATTTGAGTTACTAAAACCACAATATATGATTACAGTTCTAAAATACGCTTTACCAAGTTATACCTACATTTAGAATTTTTGAGAAAAAAAATTTACCTTAGAAATTGGACAATAGAATTGACTTCCTAAAATATAAGCTAAGTCAAAATATTTTTTTTAATAATTTGAATCTTCACATATTGAATGTTAATAGTCTAATGCTACATGGTTTCAAATGGAAAAAAATTATAGGGGTGTCAGAAAAGTGATGATGTGTTTTTCTGCGCAAAAATACAATGATTTTTTTTGATGACCCAATAGTTCTGACAGAAAAACTATAGAGCACCACAAAGAAACACAATTGCAATTTTTATGTCCATATTTTTTATTTGTTAGAGAATTTTAAAACAGGAACTACAAAAGGAGATCTACAAAAGCAATATTTTAAAAATTTATAAAGTGACCATGACCTCACAAAAATTTAAATTTTTAAATTTTCATTTATTCCTAGATAGTGTAGGGGGGGAAAGAAATTATTTCTCAAACAATTTATGGGAAAATTAGTTTACTAGTTGAAAGGAAGGAAGACAGGCAGATAAATGAAGGGGAAAAAAAGAAGGGAAAGGAAGAAACAAGAAGAGAAATACTAGATTTTCTCCCTCTACACCAACATTAATTTCAGAAGGTCTAAAAGGTAAAGTATAAATGCTGAAACCATAAAATAAATTAAAGAAAACAGGAAAAGACATAGATGAAAAAGAATTTCCTAAGTACAAAAGTGTTAAGAAAAATCACCAATAAGAAAATTTTTACTATTATAGCAATTTGTTGTTACTTGTTTTTCAGTTTTGCTACAGGGTGTATTCACTAGAAAGAGAGAGAGAGGAAGAGAAAGACACACATGGAAAGTAAGAAATCCCTCCCTGAAGGGATGGCCATACCACAATCCCTTTTCCTCTATTATCCTTTCGGAATTTTGGAGAAAGAGAGAGAGAGAAAACATGACTTTTAAGCTACCAGATCTAGGACTTGAACTGCAAAGACAGCCAAGCAAGGTTCAATACCTTAACCACCACATCACCTGGTTGGCCCTGTTGTACATTAGTTTTATGTTTGATCAGCAAACATATTGTTGATATGATCACTACCGATTATCGATCACTTATTATGTACCAGGCACTATTTTAGATTCTAGGAATACAGCTGTCAACAAAATAGACAAAAATCTGGCCTCATAAAACTTACATTCTATTAGAGGAACTCAGTTAAATAAATATATATATATATATACACACACACACACACACACACACACACACACACACTAAATATAATTAAATTATATACTACATCAGATGACATTAAGAAACAATATTAAAGGGTAAAGGGATATGGTATGTCAAAGTTTGTGAGGCAATTTTATAATGAGTGGCCAAAAAAGGCCTCCCTGAGAAAGTGAAGTCTGGTAAAGATGAAAGCATGAGAATGAGCCATGGGAGATATCTAGGAGAAGAGCATGGTAGGAAAAAGGAACAGCAAGTATAAATGCCTTAGGTAGGAGTATGTCTAAGATGTTCTTAGTACCCAGGAATGTAGGCATGTGACCCTGGGCAGGATATCAGAGGATTCTTCATTAAAGAAAAAAAATGGCAACAACAACAAAAGACAGAGATACTAGTATTCGGGACCTCATCTAGTGAAACTAGAAGAGGACTACTTAATTTCACACTAGCCAAGTAAGCCTCCACTCATATATTCAGTTTCCGATCACTTTTTTTTTAATTTATTTAACTTTATCTGTTATTATTATTAACTATTAAAGTTTGACCAGAGAATAAGAGAGAGAAAGAGAAAGAGAAAGAAAAAATGAAAAAGCAAACCACCAGGTCTGAGACTCAAACCACAGTTGGCCATGTCTAATCAACTATTAGAGAGCCTTATTTTCGAATCTGAACAAACATTCATGAATCATTAGTTATTTCATGAAACTCTACAACATGAAAGATGGGCATTAAATAAAGAAAAGAAATAAAAGGCAGTTCACAAAAAAGCTTCCAGAAATTCATAATTAATACATTCAGGGAGAAAACTATGCACCATCCATAAAACAAAAATTAAAACACTGTTAAAAACTAAAATCAAAGAATAAAGATAAATAATTTCATGCTAAAACTATGATAGGAGAAAAATATTACTTAAGTAGAAAGGTTGGAAGATAACTAAGAGTTGGAAAGAAATAAAAAATGTAAAGCAAAAAACTAAAAATTTGAAATATCGGTAAGAATCAATGAAAAAATTATAAGATCACTAATATGTGTATAACAGAATTTCTGAAAGTGGAAATTAAGAAGGAAATATTATTTCCAAACTAAAAATCATGTGAAGCTTAAAAGGTCCCATCAAGTGCCCAAGACAGACAAACAAACAAAAGAAAGAATAGTAAAAAAAAAAAAAAGAAAAGAAAAGAAAAAGAAGAAGGAAAGAAAAAACAATCATGTAATCATGAAATCTCAGAACTCTCAGGGGTAGAGAGGATCTAATAAAATAATGTCAAAATTATCTGAAATAGAGTGACTCGAACTTTAACATTTTACAAATTGGACCAGCCCTTGGCCTCGTGGTTAGAGAGTTGGATCCCACAGGGCCAACTGCACAGACTGAGTCCCAGACCCGGTGGATTACAAAACACTCCAGGTGCATGGACTTGTGTGTCCAAAATCCTGAAGGGATGGAGAAATGGAGGACAAAAAATTGCAGCATGACTATTCCCCACAAGGGGTGCTTTCTTGCTTTTCTCTCTTTGTCTCTGTTGAGTGCATGTGCCTTCTGGCAAATCAAAACAAAATTTGAAAATGCTTTTCATTTATAATCATGGCTTCAAAATTTTTCCTTCTATATTCATTTCCAGGAAATTACCTTCCCTTTTCAGAAAGAAACTTCAAAATATAGTCAATTAAAGGGAGTAAATGACAGATTGGCCCTGTAGCCTAGTAGTTACAGGGACCAGCTCCCGCATGACCAACAGTAGTTTGAATTCGTGTGTGTCCACGCCCAAAATCCCAACAGGAAGGAGGAATGGAGGAAAGGGATTGCAGTATGACCATATCCCATGGGGGAGTGCTTTCTCTTCTCTCCTCTGTCTCTGTCCCTCCCTGGTAAGTGCACATACAATACACAAAAACAAAAGTACAAGTGAGTGAACAAAGAAGAGGAAAGGAGACCCTACTTAATCACCACTATAAACACTGACCATATGTTTAAAGCATCCAATAAGGTTTGCAGGGCCGATTTCTAAAATATGAACAATGTTTAAGGATCACTAGACATTTGGTGGGATCCAAAAAATAGGAAAATGAATACAGGAAGAGCAAACAAAATGCTTTAGGATGGAGAGAAAGAAATCCCAGGTGCTAGGAGTACAGTAAGCCTCAGAAGCAACCAGTCTCAGTTGGAGCAGGGGAGTGAAGAACTGAGGACAAAGTTTCTCATGGAAAGAATAGAAATGGATAGATTCCCTAATGCCATATTAAGAAGAGTTAAAGGAGGTAGAGTTTGAAGAATTAATATTAATGATTAAAGAAAATGAGGCAAATAAAAGATGGGATAACTCTTTAGAAAAATGTACAAAAGAAATAAAACATCACAACCTTCTGAGTTTAGCTCTAAACAATATTTGCATGGTGATAATAATGGAAAATAAACAAATAAATGAACATATTGGTAACCCAAAGTGGTGATAAAATTCTATCAGGAGGAAGGAAAGAAAGGTTGTATGTGGTGTGATATGGTGTGGTGTGAAGTGGTGTGTGTGTGTGTGTGTGTGTGTGTGTGTGTGTGTGTGTGTGTTATGGGTAGAAAAGGTAGTGTAATAAAGGTGATTCCTTATTTACCATAGTAGAAAGTGAATAAATGAAGCTGAACTTTGAAAAATAAAGAACTAATGAAATACTCTGACATGTAAAATAGAAAAAGAAACTGGAAGTGCCTCTACGAGGCCAGCCTTTGGCTGCTGCATGAGCAGTGAAATAACACAAGGGCTACTTTTTGCTACAGAGGTCTTGATGGAATCTTTTAAACTATATACATAGATTATCTTCACAAAAATAAAATTGAATGGAGAAAAAGATAATCAGAGTATAAAATGCATATGTCCATAAAGTGGTCAATTTTTCTATTAAAATGCTAGTAGAAAAATTTCTAAATTTTTAAAGATATAGCTAAATCACTTGAATATTCCATAAATTAGAATAAATATAGCTGATAAAATTTGTGTTTGTCAGTAACAGGGGGCAGCCCTGTAGAGCAGCGGTTAAGTACAATGGACAGAGAGCCAGATCCCACATGATCAACCACAGTTCGAATCCCTACACTTGGTAGCTTGAAAATTATGTGAGGCACCTGTGTGTGTATGCCCATAATCCTGCTAGGATGCAGAAATGAAGGAAAAGGATTACAGCATGACCATATTCCTTTAGGGTGAGGGGGTGCTTTCAATTTTCTGAAAATTGTAGACAGAAAATTATTCATAGTATGATTTCAATTTATATATGCATAAAATCCAGAGGAATAACTTTAGAAGGAAAAATATGAATCCATTAGGAATAGTAACTCTTGGCTAATAATCCTAATTTTTTTTTGAGAGAGATTTTCACTGTAGGGCGCGTGCGCTCGCCAGACAGACAGAGAGAGACATAGAGACAGAAAGCGAGAAATCATCTCCCAGGGGGGATGGTCACGCCGCAATCCCTTCTCCTCCATTCTCCTCTCGGGATCTTGGGCACACACGCACACGCGCCCGGCGTGAGTTTTAAGCCACCGGGTCCGGGACACGAACCGCAGTCGACTACGTGGGAGTCCAGCAACATAGCCATTACGCTAACTGCTGGTTCCCCTAATATTATTTTTTAGACCTCTGAATTTTCTAAATTTTCAACAACAGAAAAAGGTGAACTAACTTTATAACCAGGGGAAAGGTAGCATTTAAAATAAATGCACCTGTTGCCCTGAAAGCAAATTCTACCAATCAAAAGAGGGCCCAGTAGAAACATTATCTATTAACTCTGGAGGTATAGTTCAGCATTATGTGTTATGATCCAAAGTTATCTATTTGATACCTTAGTCCTTGAAAGAGAGATATGCTGGACAAGAGCAGTTCAGTAAGAGAGTCAGGGATAACAACAGCGAGATAAGGCACAAGGAGAGAATTGAGAACAGGAGCCCTGTAAGCACCAAAGACGCATTCCACTAGCCTTCCCATTTAAAGTGACCTATAATTTTTTATCTTTATGCCCCATAAACCTTTAATATATTTCATTTCCTTTCTGAGTTACAAGGATTTGTTGCATTTAAAATGTTTCAGGATCAGGACCAGCAGACGGCATAATGGTTACATTGCTGGACTCCCACATGGCTGACCGCAGTTCAAGTCCCAGACCCAAAGGTTTGAAACTCACACCAGGCTCATGAGCATGTGTGTGTGCCCAAAATCCCAAGAGGAAAATGAAGGAGAAAGAATTGCAGCATGGCCATCCTCCCTGAGGCATGATATTACTCTTTATGTCACTCTGTCTCTGGAGAGTATAGCAAAAATCTTTCCCAAAAACAAGATTAAAAGAAAAAGTTTCAGGACTGACTTAATATTTGTATCATCTAAAAGTGGATGAAAATGAAAGTAACTTCAGCATTACGTTAAAAGGGACAGCAGAGATCCAAATTAATTCTGTCTGTGAAGAGTTTAGCTTTGAAGAAGAGCAGCAGAGCAGTTTTCTGAGACAGGGGAAAGGTTCCAGACTTTCTTACGTCAACTGGAGTCACTCTGCCACTTGCATTTTGAGATGTCTCTTAAGAACTCATTTGAATCCAAAAGTCTTCAACTAAGAACCAGTGCTCCGAGCTCAACCACATAGTATCAGTCTACCTAGCAATCAACTGCCTGTCTGCATATACATAGCTTGTGCTTATGTGATTCACGCGTTTCATTTTATAAACATCAGTCTCTTGCTCACCCTTGAGCGTGCCATTTTAACAAATTAAATGAGGCAGGCACCTCACCAACCGTGTCAAGTAGGAAATGAGTACAAGTAATACGGCTGGGACCTGACTCACTTCCCCTTCAAAATGGTCAGATAAAACCTGAAGCACAGATGTACTGACTGGGATAAATAGTCCGATATCCAGGGTACAGCCTTTCTGCAGTGCATGTAAGTTCCTCCTACATACATCCAATGTTATTTCTCCTAGGACTCCATTTCAACATAACTACAGATCTGGTTTATCCCATGAAGAACCAGTACCAGAATTCTTCCCTAGAGCAGGCTCTAAGTTTTCATGCTATAATTATTATATATATTTTCCATCATTTGTCTAGTACTTTGAAAATTCACACTTGCCCCAAAATAACTTTTTTACTTCATTACGTCATAAGATCACCTACCCATACAGTGTACCGAGGCTCCAAATTACCACAGTCCTTTGCAAAAATGTAAGAACAGTTTCCTGGGAAGTAATAATAGATGCCATCAAATGTTTCGAAATGATACTGTCCCCAAGTTTTGCAAATCCCATCTCTGCCACTGCCCATGTTTGGGACTGAAAAGAAATAAGATAATGTTTAGTAGAATAAGTTACACACACTTCCAACAACATTCAGTCATCGTAAGTGAATCTAATTTTCATTAAAATAAATACATTCTTCTTTAGTGGTCCATATCACAGGAAGAAATAACAAATAAAACGACCAGTTGTTCTTAAAACTGCCAAACCCACAAAGAAAAACACAGTCTCCAAGTTGTGGTAAAGAAAGAATTTATGTTAGAAATTTCTTTAGTTTTTGCTTCCAAAGGAAGATTCTAGAAGAAATGAAGAATAAGGAAACTGTCACAGTACAAGAAGGAGTAAGTGACACAACAAATATGGTGGCACAGAAAACAAAGAAATAGCAACACTGAGTTTTCTAAAACTTAGCACAGGTAGCATTAGTGTTCCCATCTCCACAATACTTTCAAAAATGTCTTTATGGTATCCACAGTGAAAAATAATCACTGACTAAGAAAATAAATAAATAAATCATGTATATGTCTAGGACTTGGAGGTGGGGCACATTAGTCATTCAAATTATGTTGGAATTTAGGAATTCATAATCTTAAACTGGCCAAATTTTAAGCAATGTTCTTAAATCATTCCACTTTTAACTCCTCTTCTCATCATGCCTGTCTCCTTTGTTATACTTGCAGATCACTATTTCATTTTTATTTTCTGCAGTACTCCCTTTAGAATAATATCAAGTCAGTAACACTTACTGAGGGCCAACAAGTGGCTAAGGCACTGGATCCCGTGTGGCTGACTCCATGATTCAAGTCCTGGACCTGGTAGCTTAAAAAATATGCTGGGTGGGTATGAAAGCGTGGGTAAGCCTGGGTGCCCAAAATCTAGGAGAGCGGAAGAGAAGGGGCTGTGGTGTGGCCAACCCCCCTCCTCGCGGGTGTGTGATTTGTCTTTGTCTCTCCAGCAACAGCATGAGACAGCCCTTTGACAAAAATCTAAAAAAAAAACATTTACTGAGCACTCAATTTGCATAGAACGCTTAGATATACTCTATAGGGATAAAGATAAGTGACAATCTTGTTTTTTTCTTTTTGAAGTAGTTACCTAAATTTATTAACGTTACCTAACTTTGTCTTTTTCAGGAAAAAACAGGCAGTTCAAGAAAAAACAGGCAGTCATCCCTGACAGTCTGTTTTGTTGCATAAAGTTACCTTTAACTTTCCTTCAAAGCATGTGTCACAAGTTTAATTATTGTGGACAGTCTTCTCTAGACTGCAACCTCCAAAAGGGCAGGAATGTGTCTGTATTATTATTATTCAACATTGTATCCCTGAGTGCCTCCCATGAGATCTAGTAGATACTCAATAAATACCAGTTAAATAAATACTTACTGATCATAATTGATGTAGGATCCTATCTTAGACAGTAAAATAAATCCCTGTCCTTGAAGAATTCTTAATATTATTTCTATTTTATGCACAGGATTTCCAATTAATTCAGAGTCAAAAAGAATGAGTGCTTCCAAATAATGAATCTAATTTATAAAGCAAAAAAAAAAAGAAAAAAAAGAATGAAAACCTGGTACTTCGTTGTTTTTGTTTGTTTGTTTGTTTTTTAGGTTTTTGCCATAGAGTGCATGTGCTCATCAGAGAGAGAGAGGGACAGAGAAAAGAAAAGTGAGAAAACACCCTGGTGATTTGCCACATGGCAATTCCATTTCCACCTGGGATTTTGGGCAAGCACATAAACCACCTGGTGTGATTTTCAAGCTACCAGGTCCAGGAATGAAACCACAGTTAGCCATGTGGGAATCCAGGACCTTAAGCACCATGCCATCTGCTGGCCTAAAAACCTGGGGTTTTTTTTTTTTGGGGGGGGAGACGTTTTTGCTACAGGGAGCATGCGCTTGTCAGAGAGACAGAGAGACAGAAAGTGAGAAATCATGCCCCCGGGAAATGGCCACGCCGCAATCCCTTCTCCTCTATTCTCCTCTCGGGATCTTAGGCACGCACTCACACACGGCTGGCATGAGTTTAAGCCACCGGGTACAGGACTTGAACTGTGGTTGACTACATGGGAGTTCAATGACATAGCTATTATGCTAACTGCTGGTCCCTAAAAACCTGGTTTTAATGGGCTAGTATTACGTAAGTCAGAAAAATATTTTAGTAAATAGTAGAGATCATTGAAAGGGAAAGTAAACATATCTATTTTCCTTTATATTGTTTCTATATTATTTCAAATTACTACGAATGAATCATGGGCTCTTTAGTTAATATACAATTTAACTGTCCCAGTTCCCAAGGATGAACACTGCTATAGCAAATTATACCATAATGTCCTCTTCTGGATCTCATAATTCTATCATAAGTATCCCTGAAACTTACCAATCTGGCACCTCGTCCCAAGAGCCTGAAATATTTGACAGTCACATGTACCAGTCTTAGAACAGAAAGCTCCATTAAGGCATTCATGAGGACAAGAACCTGAGGGGTCAAAAAATTAGGTTATCTTCTGGCATGCATCAGTTCGTATAAATATGTCAAGGTCTAGCTTGGACCAACTGTAACCATGATTAACTTAGACAGAACTCTGGGCCTCTTGCCCTGATGAGCTAAAGAACTAAACCCATCAAGTCTGTATCTGTATCTAGTTCATTTCATTATGTGGCTATGAAGCAAGACAGGGTTTTACATATCAAACTACCCTAGGAGCAAAGGTTAGCTGCCTTCAAGCAACTGAGAAGTCAAGTTCCCATGTAAGGAATCCCTGTCCCAGATGATAAGAACCAGAAATACACAAGCAACAGATGACTCCACTGACAAAGTCTGGCACCACTGCACATCTAATCAGCATCTTCTCCAGGAGCAAGCACTGTATTAAAAAATGGTGTCCATCATTAACTTGTGAAATTAGGCAAAATATAAAATTCGAAAGGAAACTCCCACTTTCAAAGAGAAAAATTAAAGATTTCATCTGAAGTTTATGCATTAACCCTCAGGCTTAATTACAAATGCATTCTTTGGAGCTCCTGCTTAATTTTGATAGGCAGGAGCCAGTCACTGCTGGCTATCACCAAATATACATTTTTGTTCTTCCCGGAAAGAAAAATTGCTGGAAAGGATTATGTTAAAAAGAAGCAGCAAGTAGAGCTCCAACTCTAAGGCCATCGTGGCCTAAGTGAGTTTTTAAAATGCAAAAGAGTCACAGTGAAAAATTTTCCTCTATTAAGAAGATGTAAAGAGAAACTGGCAAAATTCAAGCAGGAAAGATTTAAGTAACATGTCAGGAGAACTAGAGAACATATCTGAGTCACCATAAAGTATTACTTCTTTTTTAAAAAAATTATTTACTCACTTTTATTTATTATTATTATTTAATTTACTATAGGACATGTATGCTCACCAGAGAGAGAGAGAGAGAAAGTAAAAAAGCAAAAAAGCAAGCCACCAGGTCCACAACTCGAACCACAGCTGGCCATATGGGAGTCTAGCACCTTAACCACCATGCCACCTGCAGGTCCAAAAAGTATTATTAAAGAAGGTGGGCCTCTCTGGAATATGTCAAGTTCACGGAAGACACTCATTTAACTAGGAATTTAATCACAGTTCTGCAAAAAGCAAAAAGTAGAAATCTTAGTACTTCATTCCATCTTAAGATCCACTGATCTAAGAAGTCTCTTTCAGTTTAAAAACATGCAAATCTCTAAGTATATCTTCAGTGAAGAAAATTTAACTTTTTTAAAGTAGACCATAAATATAAGCAAAAAATGATACTTTTCATAAAGTTAAATGCAGATGGCTTTTTTTTCTCCTAAGGGGTATATATGTATATATATTTTTTTGGGGGGGTGGATTTTTGCTATAGGTCGCATGAGCTTGCCAGAAAGACAGAGAGAGACAGAGAGACAGAAAGCAAGAAATAACTCCCAGA